TAGCGCCCCCGGCAAAAGGGACGTTAGTACCATAGAATAGTACTAGTATGTATAACTAAACACCATCTTATTAGAAAGAACTATCATACAAAAACAAGGAAATCACAAGAGACAATCAAATATTTAACCGCGCACCACATCATCAATTAAAGAATCATATAACTTTCACATAATTTCCATAGCTTTAGTTTTGGGGCATTTCATACTGTTCATCATTGTTCACAATACCACCGCTATCTTGAGCGGAGTTCGATCACGACCCGATCGTCTAGGTTGCCTCATTTGAGACATATACCTCAATTACAATCTCATTCTCTTTTTTCCAAAATTCAATATCAGCATAATACCACCATGTGTGCGGAATGGCGTCTGATCACGGCCCGATCGGCTAGGCCGCCTTACCAAGGCGTTGTTCCTTTCTCATAATCATCTCGTTTCAATCTTTATTTCACATAGATCAATTCATAGGCACTTCAGCCACAATTATCACATCATGTCCACTTTTAATACCAACATTGCAATTTAGGATAATAGGCACATACAAGAGCATTTCAAGTGTAAACATAGATAAGATTTCACATAGTTGGCGGGACAATCTCAGTTTAAATCCTGACTTGAGGTCTAGGCATTCCAACACATAGTTTATATTCTTCACACATCTTTAAATTATCAAGATTAGTATATTGAACATATTGAGAAACACCTATCACGTATATACAGTTGCAAAACCAATTCATATGAAATAACAATCAATTCAGCAATACAATTAGAATCTTACCACATTTGTGTATACACCAACGGAGCTCAATTTCTAATAGGAGGGGGTTTTAGCCATACATACCTCAATGGAGCTTTCTTTAAATTCTTACAAAATTCCGAGACTCTTAGAAACTTCAATTTATTTTATGAAAATTACAAATTGAACCAAAAATTAGAGACATGATTAAGATTCTAGCTCATTTAAGTATATTATCAACCACTAAGTGTGCACTGCGATTTTAGGACCCTTTTGTGAGAGATTTCTATCATTTTACACCCCCAATTGCTGTCTTTTTGGTTCACAACCTCCCCATACCCTATTATCTTTTATGCATGCAAGAAAATCCATTCTTATACCTATGACTCCACAAGCTAATTACTCATTCTAGAGTAAATTTCGAAACCAAAGGTTAGGGCTCAAGTTCATACCTCTTGGGGTGAAGGCCTAGCAGCTTTTCTTGATAATCTTCAAGGGCTTAGGCAAGGATTGAGTGGGGAATTGTTGAAGATCACCCTCTCTCTCTAGAACTTCCTCTCTCACTCTATTTGAAGTAAAATAGCATAAAATGGGTCTAATGGGTGTTTTTAATAGGATGGGTCGGGTTTTAAAAGTTAGAAAATAGGATCCCTGACGAAATTTTCAATCGCATAACGGACACGCGACCCACAAAAGGGACCGCAAAGATGGTCCCAAAAACCTGAACAAACTACCCGTGTATGCGACAAGAATACAGTCTGCATACCTGTTTTGCGGTCGCATAATGCACCGCAAAACTGCCCCTCATAAAAAATTCCAAGGGGATTATGCAATGACTATGTGACCCGCACTATGAGCCTTCGGGTTTTTGAGTAGAAATTTTCACGGGGCCTTACATCCCCACCCACTTAAGATCATTCGTCCTCAAATGAGGATCAAGGTTCACTTATTAGCGATCTCTATGCAACCTCAACTTTTCACAACATGAAACATATCAACAGTCCCAAATTTGGCTAACTCCCTAAATTTCCAAATATTTTGCCAGAGTTTCCTTTGTATCTAGGCCTATCCACCTGTCAGAGAGCCCCAAAAACATATCCTAACAGCATATACGCATTCCGTAGAAATAACATAACTTGTAAAACATTAACTGTGGCCGCATAGGCAATATATAATCAAAACAAAACAGTTTTACATAGACCAAATCAAAGGATAAGAGTTCAAAAGAACCAAATGCATAAAAGCTATTACAGGGCTATACAAACAAATGTGGGTACTTCTTTCTCATTTCTTCCTCTACTTCCCAAGTGGCTTCCTCAACCTGATGGTTCCGCCATAATACTTTTACGGAGGCAATTTCCTTTTTTCTCAATTTCCGTACATGACTGCCAAGAACGGCAACTAGAACTTCATCATAAGACAGTTCTTCATTAACCTCTATAGTTTCAACTGGCACAACAGTGGTCGGATCTCCCACTACCTTCTTCAACATAGACACATGGAAGACTGGGTGTACCAATGACATCTCGGGTCCTCTGAATGATTCTGTGCAGTCCGACATACCTCAGACTCAATTTTCCTTTCTTTCCAAACAGCATGATACCCTTCATGGGGGAAACCTTAAAAAATACCCAATCATCCTCTTTGAACTCCAAATCTCTACGACGAACATCCGAATAAGACTTTTGGTGACTCTGAGCAGTTTTCAACCTCTATTTAATAATCTTGACTTTTTTTATAGCCTGATGCACAAGGTCCGGCCCTATCTGTTCCACTTCTCCTTCCTCGAACCACCCAATGGGGGACCTACATGTCCTACTATACAATGCCTCAAATGGTTCCATCTAGATGCTAGCATGGAAGCTGATGTTATAAGAAAATTTGATGAGTGACAAATGATCATCCCAGCTACCTTTGAAATCAAGAACACAAGCACGCAACATGCCCTCAAGCATCTGAATAGTCCGCTCTGCTTGCCCGTCGGTTTTAGGATGAAAAAATGTGCTAAGATTTACATGCGTGCCCAAATCTTGCAAAAATTTCTTCCAAAAGTTGGGTGTGAACTAAGCCCCTCGATCTGAATTGATTGAGACTAGAGTGCCATGCAATTTGACTGTTTCTTTGATATACAACTGAGCATATTGTTCCTCTGTGTCGGTAAAGTTAAGTGGCAAAAAGTGCATTAATTTTGTGAGTCGATCCATGATTATCCAAATTGAGTCTAACTTGCGCGGAGTGCACGATAACCCTACCATAAAATCCATGTTGATCATCTCCCATTTCCACATTGGAATTTCTATGCTTTGGGCCAATCCACCGGGCCTTTGATGTTCGGCCTTCACTTGCTGACAGTTCTGACATTTTGCCCCAAACTCTGCCACATCCTTTTTCATGTTGTTCCACCAATAAACTTCCCTAAGATCATGATACATTTTCATAGAACCTGGCTGCACGGAATACTTGGAAGTGTGAGATTCTGCCATGATCCTTTTCCGGGGACCATCAATATCCGGAACACATAGGCGGCCTTGGTACCGTACGGTACCATCAGCCATGCCAAAGGAAAAAGCTGTGGTCTTGTGTTTATGAATCCTCTCTTTCAGTTGTGTTAACAATAAATCATTTAATTGCTTCTCTTTTACTTCCGCCACAAGCGATGATTCAGCCCTATTCTGCACAATCAATCCTCCTTCATTAGAGTCCGCAAGGCGAACTCCCAAACTAGCCAACTGGTGAACCTCACTGGCCAACAGCCTCTGATATGCCTCTAAATGAGCCAAAATTCCCGTAGATTTTCGACTAAGAGCGTCCGTCACAACATTAGCCTTTCCCGGGTAATAGAGAATATCAATGTTATAGTCCTTCAGTAACTCTAGACATCTTCTCTTTCTCATGTTCAACTCCTTCTGCTTGAAGATATATTGAAGACTCTTCTGATCTGTAAATACATCCACATGAACCCCATACAAATAATGTCGCCAAATCTTTAGCGCAAACACCACTGCCGCAAGCTCTAAGTCATGGGTTGGATAATTCTTTTCATGATTCTTGAGTTGCCTAGAAGCTAGGCAATAACCTTTCCGTTTTGCATTAAAACACACCAAGCCTAATCCTTGAAGCATCGCAATACACCACAAATCCCTCTGTACCCTCTGGCAGGGCTAATACTGGTGTTGTAGTCAATCTTGATTTCAATTCTTGGAAACTCCTATCACAAGCATCGCACCATTGGAATTTAACTGCTTTCTGCGCCAATTTAGTCAATAACGAGGCAAGAGTAGAAAACCTCTCCACAAATCTCCTATAGTACCCAGCCAAACCTAAGAAACTGCGAATCTCTGTTGGAGTGGTAGGTCTAGGCCAATTCTTCACTGTTGCAATCTTTTGAGGATCACTCATAATTCCTTCCTTGGAGACAACATGACTCAAGAACGCGATAGATTCAAGCCAAAATTCACATTTTGAAAATTTTGCATACAGTTGATGTTGCTGAAAAGTCTGCAGAACTGCCCTGAGATGGTCAGCATGGTCCTCCCGACTTCGGGAGTACACAAGAATATCATCAATGAATACTATCACAAAGGAGTCTAGAAAAGGATTGAAGATTCGATTCATAAGATCCATGAAGCTGCCGGGGCATTTGTTGGCCCAAAAGACATCACCAAAAATTCAAAGTCCTATACCGAGTCTTGAACGCTGTTTTTGGAATATCCTACTCCCTTTTCTTCAATTGATGATACCCGGACCACAAGTCAATTTTTGAGAAACATGTAGCACCTTTCAATTGATCAAACAAGTCATCTATTCTTGGTAGAGGATATTTATTTTTGATTTTGACTTTGTTGAGTTGCCGGTAGTCAATACACATCCGTAGCGACCCATCTTTCCTCCTTACAAACAAGACTGGTGCGCCCCATGGTGACACACTCAGCCGGATGAAACCCTTTTCTAGCAAATCCTTTAGTTCCTCCTTTAGGTCTTTCAATTTTGTCGGTGCCATTCTGTAAGGTGGAGTTGATATAGGCTGCGTGCCTGGCATCACTTTGATCCCAAAATTAATCTCCCTGTCTGGTGGGATCCCAGGGAGGTCATCTGGAAGGACATCTAGAAATTCATTCACAATTGGTACGGACTCAAGGCTTGGTGCGTCGGCATCGGTGTCCGTAATAAGCACCAAATGATAGATACACCCCTTTTTGATCATCTTCGCGGCCTTAAGGTAGGAAATAAACGGACCTTTTGAAACTAAATTATCTCCCTTCAATTAAACAATAGGCTCATCGGGAAATTCAAGCCTCATAGTTCTAGTCCAACAATCAAGTTTGGAAAAATGTGAATAAAGCCAATCTATTCCCATTATTATATCAAAATCGACCATTCCCAATTCAATAAGATCAGCCGTGGTATCCCTACCCCGTACCATGACAACACATCCTCTATAAACTCGAGTATCCATAATATACTCCCAAACCAGAGTAGACACCAAAAATGGCTCATGAAGCTGATCTGGTTATATCCCGAATTCCATAGTAACAAAAGGGGTAACATAGGACAGGGTGGAACTAAGGTCAATAAGTGCATACACATCATGAGATTGGACAGTCAAAATACCTGTAACAATATCTGGAGAAGCCTCTGCAGTCTGACAACCACTCATAGCATAAAATCGGCTGGGTCCTCCGGAACTCTGCGCACCACCCCTAGTTGCACCATGCCCTGCGGGTGCTGGGGTACCTCGAGCTGGGGAGGGAGATGAAGATGTAGTAGCTGCCTGGCTGGATGACTGAGCCGTGCCCGTACCCGCTCCCTAGGGTTATGCACGACAATNACAACCACTCATAGCATAGAACCAGTTGGGTCTTCCTGAACTCTGCGCACCACCCCTAGCTGCACCATGCCCTGCGGGTGCTGGGGTACCTCAAGCTGGAGAAGGGCTGAAGATGTAGCAGCTGCTGGGATGGCTAGCTGTGTTGTGCCCCTACACTCTCCCTGGCGGGATACACGACAATGCCTCTGAATATAACCCCTCATCCCACATCCATAGCATATGGGTAATTCCAAATAGCAAATCCCTGAGTGCATCTTCCCGCACCTGGGGCATGGGGACCTTTCTCCTGACCGACCCCGCTGGTGGGATCCCCTATTGCCCTGAACGGGCTTGAAATGAATCCTACTAATGCTGGTTGGGCCCTGATAGCGGTGCAATGGCCGAAGACTGTGCAACAGACTGGGATGGCCCTAACAATCCTACCCTGAAAGCTGATCTTCCTCCATCTAGTGACTCTCTCATGTTGCCCGTAGACCGGGCCTTGCTGTTACCCTCTCTCTCCATTTTATTCTTAAGTTTATGATTTTCTGTGTCCTAAGCAAATGCTACCATCTTCCCATAGTTCATGTCAGAATTCAAGGCAGCTGTAGAAGCCTCATTAATAGTCAAAGGATTAAGGCCCTGAACAAACTGGTGCACCCTGGACTCCATTGTGGGCAACATGTGAATGACATACTTGGACAGGTGAGCAAACTCCATGTGGTACTCCCACACACTTCTACTACCTTACTTCAGATTCTCAAACTCTACCATAGGGGCTGCCCTTGTCTCAGCAGGTAGTAAATGATCTATAAAAGCATCAGCAAACTCGCTCCACCTCGCCGGAGGGCTCCCCCCTCACGGGAATCTTCCCACAACTCAAACCACAAATAGGCCACCCCTTTCAGACCGTAGGCAACCAACTCTACTCCCTTTGTCTCAGTTTCACACATAACCCTGAGGGTATTGTGCATCTCACTAATAAAATCCTGAAGGTCTTCTTCTGGATTGGCACCCGTAAACACTGGAGGGTCTAACTGAAGAAATCTATTCACCCTGGAACTGGTGAAATCCCCTTGCTGGCTGGATGACTTGGGTGCCATATTGGACCTCTGGGCCTGAGAGGCCACTATCTAGGTTAACATCTGAATAGCTCCCCTAAGATCCCCATCAGAAATACCAGAATCAGAAGCCGGGGTTGGAGGCGGAACATGAGTACCAATGGGAGGGATAGTGGTACCCTCCGCAGGTATAGGAACTAGGGTAGTCTACTCTGGAATATAAGAACCAGACAGGGTGATGGCAGGGCGACTACCCTGACCCGTAGTATCAAGCGGTGACTCATCAGCCACTCCTGAGGTAGCATTGGCTTCTTGGCCAATTCTCGCTTTCTTCTTAGCTGCCATTTACTGAAAGATAGAACACTGCACTAGTTAGATGGGGAATAGTTTCATAACAAGTTTTGCCGCACGATCCTGAATATCAAAGAAGGGTGTTATTCCCAAATGCCCAAGTAGCCTCCAACTTATAGATGCCGTCGACTACACACCGATAAGAAGGATTCTACTAGACACGGCTCCGAGACATCCTAGGATACTTTAAAATCTTAGGCTATGATACCAATTTGTCACGCCCCCAATCTAGGGAGGCGTGATCGGCGCTCAATCGAGTAAACTCAACTAAGCAAGCCTTATTTAACACTTTCTACCCAAATCAATATGTTTAAGGAACCACGCTTTCGCTTATTTAGACAATAGGAAAAGTTGTACATTCAACACTGTTAGTTCAGTTTATATCACAACCTTAAACGGTAGTTAAGTTCCCAAGATTTCCATACAGTTACAATTTATAGAAAACAAGAGCTTAGGAGTACAACATAGTTCATAGACCCATCTGACACCCGTACATAACCCACACAAACGTCTACGGAGCCTCTAAGGGTACAAAAGATAATTATGACAACACCGGAAACAAGGCACCGGCCATACCTCAAAAGTGGAAGTCTACAACAAAAGATGCACAACATAACCCCTTGAAGGAAAAAGGGGCTCACCAAGACTATGTGAGGAGGATGCTCCGCTAAGCATGATCGGCACTGTCCGCTATGGAGCCACTTACATTCATTTAAAAATGTAGCGCCCCTGGCAAAATGGGCGTTACTACCATGGAATAGTACTAGTATGTATAACTAAACACCATTTTATTTGAGAGAACTATCATACAAGAACAAGGAAATCACAAGAGACAATCAAAGCTTTAACCGTATACCACATCATAAATTAAAGAATCATATAACTTTCACATAATTTCCATAGCTTTAGTTTTGGGGCATTTCATATTGTTCATCATTGTTCACAATACCACCGATTTAGTTATGGGGCATTTCATATTGTTTATCATGAGCGGAGTCCGATCACGGCCCGATCGGCTAGATTGCTTCATTTGAGACATATACCTTAATCACAATCTCATTCTCGCTTTTTCGGAATTCAATATCAGCACAATACCACCATGTGTGCGGCATGACTTCTGATCACGGCCCGATCAGCTCGGCCGCCTTACCGAGGCGTTGTTCCTTTCTCATTAGTCATCTTATTTCAATCTTTATTTCACATCGATCAATAAATAGGCACTTCGGCCACAATTATCACATCATGACCACTTTTAATACCACCATTGCAATTTAGGATAATAGGCATATACAACAACATTTCAAGTGTAAACATAGATAAGATTTCACATAGTTGGCATGACAATCTCAATTTAAATCCTGACTTGAGGTCTAGGCATTCCAACACATAGTTTATATTCTTCACACATCTTTAAATTATCAAGATTTGTATATTGAACATATTGAGGCACACCTATCATGTATATACAGTAGAAAAACCAATGCATATGAAATAACAATCAATTCAACAATCCAATTTCAATCTTACCACATTTCCATATACAACAACGGAGCTCAATTTCTAATAGGAGGGGGTTTTAGCCATATATACCTCAATGGAGCTTTCTTTAAATTATTACAAAATTCCGGGACTCTTAGCAGCTTCAATCTATTTTATGAAAATTACAAATTGAATCAAGAATTAGAGACAGGATTAAGATTCTAGCTCATTTAAGTATATTATCAACCACTAAGTGTGCATTGCGATTTTAGGACCCTTTTGTGAGAGATTTCTATCATTTTACACCCCCAATTGCTGTCTTTTTGGTTCACAACCTCCCCATACCCTATTATCTTTTATGCATGCAAGAAAATCCATTCTTATACCCATGAACCCACTAGCTAATTACTCATTCTAGTGTAAATTTCGAAACCAAAGGTTATGGCTCAAGTTCTTACCTCTTGGGGTGAAGGCCTAGCAGCTTTTCTTGATAATCTTCAAGGGCTTAGGCAAGGATTGAGTGGGGAATTGTTGAAGATCACCCTCTCTCTCTAGAACTTCCTCTCTCACTCTATTTGCAGTAAGATAGCATAAAAGGGGTCTAATGAGGTATTTTTAATGGGATGGGGTCAGGTTTTAAAAGTTAGAAAATAGGAGCCCCGACGAAATCTGTGATCTCATATGCGATAGCATAATGGACATGCGTCCCGCAAAAGGGATAGCAAAGATGGTCCTAAAAACCTGAACAAACTGTTCTGCGGTCTGCATACCTATTCTGCGGTCGCATAACGCACCGCAGAACTGCCCGAGCATGCGACAAGAATCCGGTCTGCATACCTGTTTTGCGGTCTTATAATGCACCGTAGAACTGCCCCTCACAAAAATTCCAAGGGGATTATGCGATGACTATGCTGCCCGCATATTGATTATGCGATCGCATAATTGGCCGCATAGTTAACCTCAAATTAACCATCAAACTAACTGACTCTGCGGCGACTATGCGGCCCGCATAGCTATTATGCGGCCGCATAATGGACTGTAGAAATGCACTTTTCTGGAAAACATTATTCCTTACCTTTTTAATGCACATATCTTAACATAAATTCCTAATTTGGCACTAGTTTGAGTAGAAATTTTCACAGGGCCTTACATCTTTTGCGCTTGGTGACTTCTGTTAGTAAAGGTAACATTCTTGTTATAAATTTGTTGACATTCTTGTCATATCCGTTATGCCTCCATCCAAAGAAAAATCATGAGTTTTGGGGGGGGGGGGGGGCAAGGTTGTTCCGTGCCTTAGATTCTTCATTTCACCTTTCCTCTTTGTGTTGATGCATTGTTCGAGTCACCCTCAGTAACATTTGGCTACTACAGAAAATGCTATTTTTTGAAAATTGCATTTATGGCATATCATTTTTAAGTAATGCAATAGCTTAAAAAAATGAACAAAAGTAAATAGTTTGGTCGAATCATAGACTGTGACATGCTTTGAGACTTTGATAGGTTTTCGCCATATTTCTCCATCCATCTCTACAAGTATAAGCGCTCCTCCTGTTAATGCACGGTGAACCATATAAGGGCCTTGCCAGTTAGGTGAGAATTTTCCTTTTTTCATCCTGATGTGGGAAGATTCATTTCAACACCAATTGTCCTGGTTTGAATTGCCTTGATCTAACCTTTTTGTTGAAAGCCCTTGCCATTTTATTCTGGTAGAGTTGACCGTGACACACTATGTTAATTCTCTTGCCGTCAATGAGAGCCAGTTGCTCATACCGGCTTTGTATCCATTCCACATTACTGAGTTCGGCCTCTTGTATCATTCTTAGGGAAGGAATATCCACCTCAGCAGGCATAATGACTTCAGTACAGTAGACCAGTAAATAAGGTATTGCCCTAGTTGACGTATGAACCGTGGTACGGCACCCGAGAAAAGCTAATGGTAGCTTCTCATTCCTTTGCTTGTAGTTGTCCACCATCTTTGTTAGTATTTTCTTGATATTTTGGTTGGCGGCTTCTACAGCTCCATTTAGCTATGGCTTGTATATTGTAGAATTTCGGTGTTCTATATTGAACGTTTCACACATGGCCTTCATCAGATCAATGTTAAAATTGGTGGCGTTGTCGATAATGATTGACTCAAGTACTCCAAATCGACAATACGATCTCGGACAAAATCCGCTACTACCTTTTTAGTCACAGCTTTATAAGAAGCGTCTTCAATGAATTTTGTGAAGTAATATATAGCCACCAAAATGAACTTGTATCCATTCGAAGAAGCGGGTTTAATTGGTCCGATGACATCCATGCCCCAAGTAGAGAAAGTCTAAGGTGAACTTGTTGCATTGAGTTCGTTGGGCAGAACTCATATCATATCAGCATATACCTGGCATTGGTGGCGCTTCTGTACATACTTGATGCAATCTATCTCCATTGTCATCCAGAAATGCCCTGCCCTTAATATCTTCTTGGCCATAAAGAAGTCTTTCATGTGAGGTCCGCAGGTTACGTTGTGTATTTCTTTGAGCAATCTAGACGCCTCCTTGGAATCGACACATCACAACAACCCCAAGTCAGGAGTGCTTCAATACAAAATTCATCCACTCTGAAAGAAGTGGTTGGGCAATCTTCGGAGCATGC